AACAGCTATATTACTGTAGCATAGCAAAGCATGCAATCCATCCTGTTAGCTTTGTCTTTACTCATCAGTAAACAGATGAAATGGTCAAAATCATCAAAAGACATATTGTTTGTTCTGTCCCTAATTGTGCCAGACCTGAAGACGTCTGTCCATGTCAGTTTTCGGAAGGTTTGAGTTTCATCCAGCAGCAGCTTAGCACTGCTACTCACTGCAAACGGGGCTTTTCTAGTCCATGGGGCTCACACCAAGGGATCCTTAATCCGGGCGTACACTGTGCGATTTTCGGGAGATTTTCCAGTCGTGCGAGAATTTCTCGACCAGGTCGACTTTCAGCCTGATCGTGCATTGTGAGTGGTGCAGTGTACAGGGGGTAACGAGGGGCGATCAGCCTCTCACCACCACCTCCCCATTGGTAATCGTGAGGTCAAACATGTTTGATTTTCTCCAGACCGCCGTAGGCAAATCACTTAGTGGGCATGCACAAACAAGGATTCTTCGTTTTCTTCTTCCTCTCAGATGTAAACACAGAAGCATGGCAGGATGTGTGGGTGAAATGGAGTTCTTTCTTTAAAATTGACAGACCGTAGTAGCCACGTTTGCTTAGCCATGTCTTTGTCCAAATACGTCATTGCCTTTTCTTTTTAGGGCTTTCAGCAGAAAATTAAACAAATTGCCAAGGCAGCGCGTTTCACTATAGTGAGCATAATATTCCCCTTCTATTTGTTTGGCTTTCAGATAGATAAGTCAGAGCAGCTCCATCTCACTTCGGAGCTGAGTTTGACGTGATTTTTAGACATGCAGTGTGAGCAGGTAGATCGCATCAGAGCGTCGGGCCGAAATTAATCGTGAGCTGTGAACTCACACTGTTTGACGAAACCCTGCGGTTTCGTCGTACACTTTGAGCAGTAGTCGCGTTCAACGATTGAAAAAATCTCACAGTGTAAGCCAGTCTGGCTCTGTAAGTTCTGACACTCAAGAGAAATGGGTTGCAAAAAGTCTGTTTTGCAGCAGTTTGGTTCTGAAGTCAGCCATCGTGACTTATCCTTGGTCCTTCTAGAAATCGGGGCCTTTTTGCTGGATCTCCATGGTGGCTGGAACTCCCAGGCAGCTTCATGGAAAGAGAAAATGAAATCCTGTGTGCTGAGGTCGTTACTGTTCTCAACACAGCAGGGGTGGCAAGTCAGAACTCTGTGGGAGTTCCTGTGGAATCAGTTGGCTGAAAAAGGGGAGTAGGTTTCACAGCTGCTCCATGAGCCAAAACTGCATCTTCTTCTCTGGTCATCATGTCAAGATCAAACATGGACACTTGTTCCCAATGTCTAAAACCACGATCATGGCACATGGCACAACACATTCGAGGCACATCTCTGCGGAGTATCTTGCAATATCGATGTTGCAGAGCCAGCTGCAGGGCATAACTTTCATCTTCCTCACCCAATGGACATGGTTAATATAAAACACGGACAATGTCTAAAATTATTATCATGGTTTATGGTACAAGAAATATTTGATCATTTGAAAATAAACATCCAAATTTCAATATGATTAAATGAAAACAGGCAAATTTTACCTGCATTAAAATCTACAGGATTCTTTTCTAAAACGACCCTGGTAATTTGTTCATTTACAGCACTTTGAATAATCTCAATAATGAAATGTGCAATATGAAAAAAAGCCCTACCTTGCTTAATCTTCCTAAAAGAGCAAACATTTAAGATTGGAGTCCTCAAAAGCCTCATCAAAGCCCATCAACAAACAAACACATAGAAAAGAAAAAGATAGCACTTCTATTAAACTGCTTTTCTGGAAGGTGTTGTTAGGCAATCAAAACTAAGAGGTTTCACATTATCTGCTGTGACTCTGATGGTAACACTAATGTTGCTGTTGCCTCGGGAAAGTCTCTCACTATTCTACAAAGATTGTCCATAATCTCGATTAAGTTTGTTTTCTGTTGAACAGGCGTAAACGCTTTAGTGGCTCCACTCAGCATTTAATTGTTTTGTTTCTTTTTTGTTCAATGTAGATTGTGATAAAAAAAAAAGAAAAAACAGCTGGCAAGTCCCTAATAGATGGTGATAAAGCATTTGATGATTAATCCAATAATTGAAGGAGCAATAACTCATATTAAATAAAAGCTATACTACAGTATTAGTAGCAAAAAATAAAAAAAAATCAGCCAATTGCTGTGGGTTGTTTTTATTTGCTCTGATTGACTTGTTTAATGCACTACTCATTGCTACTCATGTACTCATCAATACTTCATTTCTAGTCCTTTTCTCCCCTAAAAAAGAAGCTTCTGAGTATTTTTCTTTGGTTTAAGGAGTTGCTTCTAAACGTTCAGCGTTACATCTGTCATTCATCAATCATATTGAACTGTGGACAGGCTGCAAATAATTCTTATTAACTAACAAAGACAACCAAATATGTGGCAACACAAGGATTTTCTGTTGATTTTTCTCAGAGTGTTGTTGCAGGGATGCAAATATTTTATAAGATTTACTGTATCTTTCGTTTTATTTTTTTTGCTTCTTTGCCAGCTCACCTGTTTCTATTCATTCATGTCATTAAAGTAGCAGTTATTTGTGACATTTAATATTATTTCATTTATATTCACTAAAATAACCACTCCTTGTCGTTTTATATTTGCCTTCAAACAGTTACCATTTTATAAAGGGCCAATGGGTTCTTTTATACTATCTGTAAAGAAGTAAACTAATAGGGGAACGTCAGCATATCATTTTCATGTCCATGACCTTGAAAGATATGTTTTCAAGTTTTCTCTTCAAGCAGCATTTCAAAGTTTGACTTGAGAAGTTCTTTGTACACAAGACATAAATATTAATGCTTTAAATGATGCTGCTGGTGCTTTAGATATGAAATGCCTCATACCCAACAGGATTAAAGAGAGATTAAAGCTAAAACTTTTTATAGCTTTTATAATCCTGTGTGATAGGAAAAAGGCTAAACATCCCTTTTATAGTCAAGATGATTGATATATGCACTTCTTCAGGACTAAAAGAGACCAAGGCCTGAAATCTAATAGCCAGCTCAAACAATACATTCATGAAATATCATAGAAATTGTCATTTTAGATTGGTTGTGTTTCTTCTTGGGAATTAACTACAGTGGTGAAGAAATGTTACGGTATAATGATAAAGTAAATGTTAAAAAAACATGTTGTGACATACCACAACAATTTGTTGACTACATAACTATAGGGGGGAAATGGACATGAGAAAAATGTTTGAACAAAATAAGCTCTGAGTTTTAACATTGAAAGTCAGTTTTTTAATGGAAGGAATTTCAAATTATAAATAAATAATTTTTAAAGAGAAAAATAAACAATACCTTTTTAGAATATTTGAAACCACCTTTATATTCTTCTGGTATTGTGTTTTGGTTTTGGTTTGAGCTTGTTTTTAATCATTTCTCACTTTTTTTTACTACTGTTTATTATATGACATTAATTTCTTTATACATGTTCCCATCAATATTGCCATGGGTATTTTAAAGAATCAAATTAGAGGAACTGATCCAGTGGAACCAGACTACATATGTTCTGTGGATCTGGAGAAGGCATTCAATAGTGTCCCTCGGGGGGTCCTGTAGGGGGTACTCCGGGACTATGGAGTAGCGGGCCCTTTAATATGGACTTTTAGATCTCTGCATGACCAGTGCCAGAGCTTGGTCCTCATTGCCGCCAATAGGTCAGAATAGTTTCCGGTGAGGGTTGGACTCCGCCAAGGTTGCCCTTTGTTGATAAATCTGTTCATAACTTTTATGGACAGAATTTCTAGGTGCAGCCAAGGTGTTGAGGGGATCCAGTTTGATGGCTTTCAGATTGTGTCTCTGTTAATTGCATATGATGTGGTTCTATTGGCTTCATCGGGGCGTGATGTACAGCTCCCACTAGAGCGGTTCACAGCCGAGTGTGAAGCAACCAGGATGAGGATCAGTGCCTCCAAATCCGAGACCATGGTCTTGAGCCGGAAAAGGGTAGAGTGCCTTCTCTGCATTGGGAAGGATGTACTGCCCCTAGTGGAGGAGTTTAAGTATCTTGGGGTCTTGTTCATGAATGAGGGGAAGATGGAGCAGGAGATCGACAGGCGGTATCTGCTGTGAAGCGTGCGTGCGCTGTACATGTCTGTTGTGGTGAAGAGAGAGCTAAGCCAAAAGGCAAAGCTCTCGATTTACCGGTCGATCCACATTCCTACCCTCATCTATGGTCATGAGCTTTGGGTCATGACCGAAAGAATGAGATCCCGGATCTAAGAGTACGGAATGAGTTTTCTTTGTAGTGTGTCTGGGCTCTCCCTTAGAAATAAGGTAAGGAGCTCAGTCATTCGGGGATGACTCAGAGTAGAATCGCTGCTCCTCCACATCGAGAGGAGCCACTTGAGGTGGCTCGGGCATCTGGTTAGGATGCCTCCCGGACGCCTCCCTGGTGAGGTGTTCCGGCCACGTCCCACCGGGAGGAGACCCAGGGGGAGACCCAGGACACACTGCAGGGAATATGTTTCTCAGCTGGCCTGGGAACGCCTTGGGATTCCCCCGAAGGAGATGGCCCAAGTGGCTGGGGAGAGGGACGTCTGGGCCTCCCTACTGAAGCTGCTTCCCCCACGACCCGACCCCGGATACGCAGAAGAAGATGAATGGATGGAAATTAGAGGAACATAATAGAAATAGCAATATTCGAATCAACAGACTCAATTGCTCAATTTAGATGTTTTTTTGACTTTTTTATAGAAAGAGTAAATGAAAAAAAGGAGATGAAAACACATATGTTGAATAGCTTCTAACATAAATATTTACCTCACATTACTGATCATCTGTCCCCTACTGACATCCCAAATGTAATAGTCAATCACACTTTTCCTTTAATAGCGTGTAACATGGATACGTAATAATAGCTGACATGATAATCTAAAAACTTTTTTTTCTATATTTAAAAACTTTGCTCAAAATTTGCCTGACATTTGAATGGAAACACGGCTTCTGTGTTGTTTGGTATTGTTGTTTGTATTTTTGTGATTGTTTGTTTAACTTATAATTTACTCTTTTAAGTTTGGTTGGGTTGTTTTATGCTGGTGGAAGGGTTTGTTTTCCTTTTTTGGTAAATTACCTGTACTTATATAGCACTTTTTCAAGTTATAAGACCAAAACGGTTAACACTTCAATAACAATTTACCAACACACTTACACTGATGGTGACAAGCTACCTTGTAGCCACAGCTGCCCTGGGGCTGACTGAGGCTGCCGTACACTGGCGGCACCAGTCCCTCTCACTACCATCAGTAGGCATTGTGGATGAGGTGTCTTGCACAAGGACACAACGACGCTGAAAGCTGGAGCCGGTGCGTGAACCGACAACCCTCTAGTTGCAGGGCAAACTCCTTTGGTTGATTTGTAAGACATTTTCTCTGGATTTTTGTTTCTTTGCTATCAGTACATGCCATTTACCATTTTACCATTTACCATCTTTCCTGCTCATTTGAATGTGAACATCATGCACGTCACTATAAAACTAATCAATCTCATTCCCTAGACATCGATTTTGCAAAAATAAATCGATTTTTTTACCCAGCCCTATCAAAGATAATAAGTACAGAATTCATGCTCTTTTCAGAACTAGATTTCGTGTTATATAGGGTAAAGAGAAAATGTGTCTCTGGTAATCTAGGAGTCTTCAGTGAAATCAACAATTTTAATAAAAACTTATCAAATAATCAATTTAAGTAGATATTAGTGCTTGTAAATATAAATTTTATGCAGAATGTTTATTGATGTTAAAGTATGACAATGCAAAAGATTTACGCCCAAGAACTCAAAACTGAAAGAGTTTTACCCACTTTACCTTTTATTTAGAAAGCACGGATGTTTAAATGTATGTGTTATTTGTTATCAAAGGCTGTAGGAAAGTATAGTGTGTCTTTATTTAGAAAATATGGATGTTTTGCTTGTTAATTTTCCTGTTGGAACAGAAGACTGACCCTGAGGATCTGGTGCCTATCCACTATCGGCCACCCCTCAGTGTACAGTATATTGGTTAATGCCTGGCCACCCTTATACTAAAAAAATTCTGGCAACGACTCTGTCCACTGTACCTCTAAACTGTAGTAATGTTTTGTGTTTGTTTTTTCTCATGGATGAAAGTTGTAGCGCCCTGATGGATACCTCCTCCAGCCCCGGAACCTGGCGGCGTTAAGACCCAGCAGATGTTCGGCACAGTGAACATCTGTCGCCGCGGTCTCCTTCCTCTCTGTATGAACTGCGCCTGGACTCCTGTCAGGAGACACTGACGCTCAGAGGCAGGCTGGGATCAGGAGCGCAGCGGATCTAGGAGAGATGCGCGCAGATGAGTCCGGACCATGAGAGCAGAAAGTGGAGCCAGACGCACTGAGCCGCAGCGATAAGACAAAATGAAGACACCTATGGTAAATGTTTCTGCCGCGCACATACAACTGTCTATGGGGGGCTTTCTTTTATTTATAACAACGACATTCCTTCGAGTACAACCGGATCAGATCGCCCCATAGCATCAGGGTTCTGTGTGCAATGATGTCGGATCAGGAGATTAGAGGATATGAACAATAGGGCATCCAGCTGTGCGCCCTGGATGGACACTAATAGAAGCTCCGCTAAAGCGCAGACCACCGCGCACTGCTCTGATCTCTGTCTCACGCAGAAGATTTTATTTTTTTTCTTTAAAAAGTACCAAAATTTGAAGTTACTGTAAATTTATGAGCAGATTCAATAAAGAAAAAGTCAATAGCCGCATGTTCGAATCAATTTCCTAAATAGAATCTCCAACTTTTTTCTTTATCTTCTCGTGTTTCTCCTTTAGACTAAAGTGTCCAAACAGAAAATATACACACATGAAATAATCACTGATAGCATTTTCTGAACTTTTTTCTTTATTCGTGTTGATAAATGTTTTTTGTCCATGTAAATCTGCTTTGATCACAGCAGTTTGGATTTTTTTTCAATATGATAAAACCAGTTGCAACCAAGGAGGGGCTGGTGGGGGTTATTTGGTTCTCTTTCAGGTGATATTAATTATTTATGCGCAAATTCAGTTACAGCCTTTCTTTCCTTAGCATTATGGCCAATCAAAACTGTCATCAGTACTGATTGTCTTTTCATCACGGCATCCGTTTGGGGTAGAATGCCTATTGGTTATAAGGAAAAATGTATTTCCCCTCACAGTTAATTGATTGGATGCATGACAGCTGGGGCAGAGTATGGATTTCAATCTAATTGTAACAGAGAATCAGAGAATATCTTGTGCTTTTTGCACAATTGCTGTTCTGCAATGCTCAGTATAAAAAGTGGTCCAAGGAAACAACAGTGGTTAACCAGGCAACATGGTCAGAAGTATTTTCACTGCTGGTCACAAAGTTGAGTTCTATTCTTGTCTTTCATATTGTCTGTTTGTCTGTCTGCAAATAAACAGCAAATACAGTCTTTTCCTGTACAGCGATGATATCACAGCAATATCACAGCATAAAAAACAAGGAATCTTACATATGTTTTTTATACTTTCTACGATTTTTTGCAGGATTTTTAATTCTAGTTTATAGTACTAATAGTTTTTTTTTAAAGATCAGTTAGTTTTCCCTGCTCTAAATCTACTGATATCTCCACATTTAGCTTTAAGTTGAAATCAGGTCCATGCTCAGTGATAAATGAAATATAACAATTCAAACTATAAACTTATAGATTATTGTGTTGTTAATAAAATCCTGATGGGAATTGCTTTTGAAATTGACTAAAAATATATATTTTCACATCAACTACATATCTAAATAAAACTTCTGAAATTGTCTTTTTTGGTTTTAGTTTTGCACCCCAAGATTATAAGTTCCCCCGATTTACACAACCCCTTAAGAAACTCTCTAGAGGAAAGACTAATTTGTGTTGCTGTGAGTTTGTTAAAGATTGAATATTTCCTCAGAACAGCTAGTCAGACGGAGACATGGAAGACTGTAATTAATGCTTGCCTCTTCTCTTACTTTAAAATTCACTGGAAAGCTTTCCTATTTGCTTTAAATGTAACAATACAAACTGAAGGCTCATGCTCCTTCTGTTACTGTCTGTGTGGGAGTCTGATGCAGGCAGAGAATGAGAACTGGCAACAACAGCCAACAGATGGAAGGAAAAAGTTGAAGCCTGATGCTTTCTGTCACTTTCTTTCTGACAGCTGTGGGGGTAAAAATTCCCAAAATAACGGCACAGATGTTTTTAACTTACACGAGTGAAGATTTTCTCAGTTTAAACATATTAATTATACAAAAGCAATGGCAATGCAGTAGTAGCAGCAGGTGTAAAATAAAAAGTTAAACTGAACATGATTAATAAACCTGAAAGATTTAGATTGAGTTATTTCCCTTTAACCTTGATTTGTTTTTGTTGTTTTTATTGGTTTGCCAAAAATGTTTTAATTACCTCTTGCTGATATGTTGAAAATTCACACAAAGACATTTCAGTTTTTGATTTCATGATTCATCTTAGGTGATAGGCAGCAAGCCTTTAAATGTAGGATGGTCTCCTTGTCATCAACCTATTTTCAGCTCCCTCTCTGTTAGATTCCCATTTGCAGTGCAAATTGCCCCATTAATATTAATTCCAGGTCATAACACAGATTTTAAACACATTTATTTACTTCCTTTCATCAAAAGAAGTTGTTTATGGTCAGATTTCAGCATGTTTCAGTCAACTCCTTGCTCCAAAAAAAGCTTGTTGAACAGTTCAATTCTCTCCTCAGCATTTAGTAATGACCCTTCATTAGCTTCAGGTGTGTCTATCTAAATAAAACATGCAGGAATCAATGATTTGACGATGGGCATTGCTGCTTCAAATGGCACGTCTAATTCGAGTTCAGCTGGGCTAATTTGGCTGCATCTGCTCTTGTCTTTTGTTTCAGCGCCATGGGGTAGCTGTGCTTCTGGTTCTGCTCCTGTGTGCCAGCTTGTTCCTCGTGTACAACGGGAATTTCAACAGTCCTTCCAGGGACACTAACGACACCCGCGCACAACAGCATGAACATCTGCAGCAGCCCCCCAAAGCCTCCGTCAGCACGCCAAAGCCTCACCTGCCTGCCCTCCAGGGATACATCGGCATCATCGACCATAAGGTAGGCAGATGTGGCTGCTTCCTGTCTCTTCCTTAATTCAGAGGGAAAGAAAAAGGCTTTGATTCTAGATCTAATGCTCTGCAAAGTTGGTTTCCTGAGTCTTTCTGAAAATAAAGGCGGTTTCAAATGTCCTCCATTAGGACTCCGCTTCGGCTACACATCTTCACTTCTTTACACTTCGATCATGAAAGCCCACACATGCACTCTCTTATTGCTGCCCACCATCATCTGTTTGCTCTCCTCTTTAGAGAGGGAGGGCCCTGCTCTCTGTCGTTTATCCCTATTTTCTCCAGCAGTGCTGCGCCTCACTCAATGCCCACCTGTCGTTGCTAATAACAGTTTAGGCTACAAATGAAATCCTCGGCTGCATTCTTCCACTCTAATTGAGAATCCCAGGAGACCCTCAGCAAGCTGAACCCTGACGTCACTTGTTGGGAGTCAGGGAGGGGGGGTGGGGGGGTATTGACTGCCATCTGTTTACCAAGCCAGGAGAAAACAATCAATGTGAGTAGCAGGGAGCAAGGGCTCTGCAAGCAAAACAGACCTACCTGCTCATGAATTGAGGGCTTATTCAGGCAACATTTTGGACAATGTGATGCTTATCGACTTTGAAGCTTTTTAGTTTACTTTTCTTCTTCTTTGGTCATATTATAGTTTGCAATAGTCTTTTTGTTGATTTCGATGAACCTGGTCCTCTTGCAGTTTTTGGCATCTGTATTTTATGCATCTATATTTTGCATCTAATGAAACAACATTTTCTATTTATGGTACTTTAAGGTCTCTGTTTAGTTGTTCCTCTCTTTTTTCTGTTGTAGTTTAATTTGTCATCCAAAATTGAATGTTGATTTGCTTATATTTTTGTGTCTCTTTTATGATTTCTCAAAAACAGATTAAAAGCACAGCCTTTTTTATCTCTGAAAATCCATGCATAGTTATATTTAGTCTATAATCCATAAAAGTAATATTTTTACCTTTTGATAGTTTTACATCTCTAGGTTTCCAGCAGTCATTCTTTAAATGTGTATTCAAGTCATTCTAGTATTTGATGTGCTCCATGTTAGATTTTTTTCTGTAGTCATTTCTTGCATACCTGTTGGGTCACTTTGACTGTTTTAAGCCACTTTGAAACAACCAGAAGTCCCATTTTTAATTTGTGATGCTCTGACATCCTTGTGCAGTTATTTTCATTGATCTAAATGATTTACAATTCTCAGTTACCCTTGTATGTGTTGGGGGAGGGGGTGTCCTATGTTTCTCTCTAGAATCTCTTTGGATTCTTTGAAAAGTATTATTCTTTCTGTGGAAAATTTATGTCTTCAATTTTATTTTTTCTTATCTGTAGTATTTTTCCATCTGTATTAATTCATTTGATGGTCTTCTCAGAACTGAAATGACCCTGAAATATTTTTATTTGTAATACGTTGGTATCACAGTTGACTGTTTATTCTTCAAATATTATTCCCATGCCTGTTTCAGTAAACCTTGACATTTATTCTGACTTCTCCTACTTTCATCAGTATTTTGCATCCTCAAATTCTACAAAGTATTTGCTTTTTGCTCTACGTTAGTATTTCTATGTAGTTATTTTTTATTCTTTAAATTTAAATTTTCTTTGTACTCAATGGACAGCCTTGATTTTTTTTCTATTTCTCCTGATTTATTTTCTTCCTTTAACTATCCTTCACCTTCAAAACTCATATTTCCTCCTTGCTGTTTTTGCCATATTTCCATTCTCCATTGTGCATTTTTTAATTCCTCTTCTGTAACTAAATCATTTTTATGAATACATTTTCTGTTCTGTTTTTTTTTCACCTTTGTGTTATTTTGTAGCTTGTCTGTGTCCATATTTAAGCTTCCTTGTTATTTTACCTCTTAATTTTTTTAAAGCATAATGAAGAACCCAAATGTAGAAATTTCTCATGACCGTCTCTTTCTGTCAATGTGTGGTCATGTTAGTTTTTCTGCCTCTGCCTGAGTCTTTCCTTAGTTTTCTGCCCAGATTCATGTCGCATCCCAGTATTCTTTTGTAGTAGCTTTGCCTCTCTCTCTGATGCCACTCTGCATTCCCCACTGTCCCTTTGAATATCTGTGGCTGTTTGACTGGCTCTACATGAAAAGTCACTTCTGTGGCTGACGGGTCCCTGGTCTGGTTACTAGTTGGCTCGTTCAGTAATCCATTTGTGGCAGAACCGAGGACACCATGAGTGACAAATCAGTTCTTTGTGCCATCTCTGTCTCAGGGAAATCTGCCCGGCCTCTGGAAAGCATGGATCGTCAGATTATGGCATTTGCATGTGAGTAATTGGACAGCAAGCTGTGTGCACTTGCAGAAGGCTGTTGCTGTACAGATTACAGAAAATCAACAGCGTGAGAATGTGTCAGCTGCAAACATTTGAAAGTTGATGTGTTTTTGTTTGCTTCAGAAAAATAACCTGATGGGTAAATGACCTTCGTCTAAATAATACACCAAGTGGCCTCAACAGATTCTTAATCTTGCACTCATTTACACATGGAGGCTGGTCTTTGAAGAAGGAGCTTAGAGTGAAATATATAACAGAAAACAAAATATTTGTCAAATTTTCATGTTGCATGGCAAATGAAGGCAACGATTTTGTCTGGTAAAATGTTGCCAACCAGAGAAAACTGTAGTAAAAGTTCTCTGTAATTTATGGAAGTTTGACTCATATATCAGAAACCTTTTCTGGGAGCTTTCCACTAATTTATGTAAAGCTTTAAAAATTTTGGATGATATTTTAGATTCTGGGGAATGATTTAAATGTGGTGTTGGCTCTGTCAAAAAGCCATTTCCGGCACATAAACAAACATAATGGCTTATATCTTGATTGCTTTCCTGGAAGAGATGTGGGCAGTTATTTTTAAGTTCTTACTGTGGTTCAGAAAACTTTCTTTAAAGCTGACTCAAGCAATTAATTTGCATTAATTTATGTTAAGTACCCTCTCTCTAAGTTGTTTTTAAGTACGAAATAAAAATAAATATGATTTTGAACCGTACTGTCAGTCTTTCAATGTTTTGTGGAGGAACTTTGGATCACTAATTCTTACAGTATTGCTCAGTTGATTAGGGTTTGTAGGCATGTTTTTTTTTTTTTTTTTTCAGCCATTCTGTTGTAAATTTGTCTCTCTGTTTTGGATTAGTGTCCTAGTGATGACCCAGTTTGGGAAAAGCTTCATCTGCTGGACAGAAGGCCTCATGTTTCATTTCAGAATAGGGGTTCTTTAAACTGGTCTCCTGTGCTTCACGTTTAAACGCTTCTCTGCTCAATGACCTCCATATGCCCCCATGTGTTGCACATTAATCTTCTATTCATCTAAGTCTAGTGTGTAACAACAGGGAACCACCTAAAGTATGGAGGACATTGGGTCCAAACAATGTGGATTTACAACCATTATCATTAACCACTTTAGTAAAGAGTGGAGATCTTGGTTAACTGTTTGAAAAAAATGGCTCCACAAATAAGCTTGAATCCTGATTAAATCCTCACATCTCTGCCTTTTTGCTTTACTGCCGGTATGATGCGTTTGTCCCAACATTTGATATTTTATGTTGTTCATTATGGCTAGACATCTGTACTTTTATTCTGCTTCGGAGTCCTCTGGTTCATTAGATAAAACTTTGATTCTGCTATATTTGTTACAGAGAGGAAAGGCTTTCTCTTACAGTAGCGAGGCATTTTAGTTCAGTGTTTTTATGATTGTCCTTAACACCGAAAAACTTGGCGACCTGAGTCTAAGATGGAGCTCCTGGCTTGCTTAAACTATTACATGCTCTGACATTGTGGTGAATTTGCTGGGACTTTCACGCCTGGGAAGAAGTAAAGGTTGGAATATTTTCTCATTGCTTTTAGGATTTTTCATTGCCGAGGCTCTAGGTCTAGCCCTGAAAAAGAAGAAAAAAAGAACTGCCTTCATGAGAAGCTAGGATTCTGTTGAGGAAAGTATTGTTACTAGTCTTGTTAAGTTTTGCTTTTCAAGTGTTTTGATCTGTGTTGAATTAGCAAATATAAAAAAATAAAAATAAAAAGTTGCAGCAGAGGATCTGTTTCTTCTTACGTAAAAGAAGTCACCCATCACTGAGCAACTTCATCCTACATGGTGGAGATATCTGGTTTGAGATTGTCGCAAAGCAAACTAGTTATACTTATTAAAGAACCAAGTAAGACCTGGGAAATAGAACCAGTCCTCGTTAGGCGGTGGAGCGCTTTGATGGAAGAGTCGTAACTCTTCCTAACCTCTCCCTGATATCTGTGATATCCCCAGCCTTTTGCAGGATATCACTAAAGGCAGCCTCACAGGTGCGCTCCATTGAGCTCACATCAGAGACCTGCCAGCCATGATATAATTTTCTGGGCTTTTCCTAAACTGTTTAAAGGCAAAAGGATTCTGGTGATGGCTAGCTTTGGACTGTAGAATTTAGTTTAAAAGATTTGCATGAACAGTGAGCAGAGGGGGACTCATAGCTGACAAATCTTCAAGGTGGAGTAGTTTTCAGTGTCTTTGACATTGTAGGTTACGGGAGGCTTTGAGAAACCCATTGGGTTGGAACCTTATTAATTTGTGCCGCTTGATTCAACGCGCTACCTTAGCAATGCCTAAAGCCAGTGCTCCAGAGGCATTTAATGTTAAAACCAATATGAAATTTCAAGCGTTATCGATATCCTTTAACTACTTTTGTGGCCCAAGGGGGTTTTAATACAAAACAGAAGGGCTACAATATAGATCCATTTACACTTTTTAAATACCAAAAGTACATTTTAGAGTGAGTTACACTTTTAGAAAATAAAATTGTTCTGTTAATCCTATGTAAACAGGAGAGTTCTAGTCTAATTTGAAGTTAGAGGGTTAAGTGTTGTACACTGTATATGCTTTCAACTATAAATCCACACTCTGCTCTTGATCTTTACTGACAATAAACAATAAATGGTAAATGGTAAATGGCATGTACTTATATAGCGCCTTTATTCAAGTTAGGAGACTTGACC